TCCTGAGTTGTTTCTGCACCTCTTTCCTGATTTGTTTCTCTTCTTCAAAGCCCTGGTCACCTTGGTCATGAGCGAATGTCTGCTGTTGGAATCACTTAGCGTGAGGACTGCAGCCAAGCTCCATGGCTCAATTTCAAGTTCCCCTTTAAATGGAACCATTGGACACACTTTGCCCATGAGATCCTGGTCACTGAGTTTACTGAAAACAAAGTGGAGTCTCTGACTCAGGGATTTAATTCTCCGCCTACACAAAATTGGTAATTACTCTGCTAAAAACAAAATGAGGCAAAAATAGACTTAAAAAAACTGAAAATAAAAATTTCCTTTAATTAGCACCAGAAAACCCAGTGCAGGAGTCTTGGTTGGTGAGTTCCCCAGAACATCTAACACATTGCCTTTCAATGTGTTCATCAGAGTCAATTTTAAAGTGGAAACAGGACCAAGATACACCTAAGAAAATAGCAAACAAAAATAAGACTTGGGGATTTACCTGATGGTCCAATGGCTAAGACTCTGGGCTCCCAATGCAGGGGTCCCCCCGGGACTGGATTCCTTAGTCAGGGAACTAGATCCCAAATGCAGCAACTAAAAAAAAAAAAAAATCCTGCATGCCACAAAGAAAATCAAAGACCCCACGTGTCACAACTAAGATCTGGCACAACCAAATAAACAAATTAATAAATTAATCAAAAACAAAACAAAAAACACAAGACCTGATCTGGAAGTCAGGAGAGGTGGGCTCTAGTCATAGATTTCAGATGTCAGTGACCCTTGCCCCTCCAGGCATTTCAGTTTCCTTTTGTGGAAAATGAAGAACTAGGACTTGATGTATATCTCCAAAAATTCCTATACCTGCTTGGTGGTGGTTTAGTCCCTAAGTCATGTCCAACTCTTGCAATCCCCATGGACTGTAGCCTACCAGGCTCCTTTGTCCCTGGGATTCTCCAGGCAAGAATACTGGAGTGGGTAGCTATGTCCTTTTCTAGCGGATCTTCCCAACCCAGAAATTGAACCCAGGTCTCCTGCATTGCAAGCAGATTCTTTACCATCTGAGCTATGAAGGAAGTCCCATGCCTGCTTAAATGCTCAAATTTTTATTTTGATCTTAAATTGTTGACCTTCTACTCACCATATATATCCTTGTATCTGTGGGAAGTTTCTGCCTGAATGTCCTGCTGTTAAACCAAAACAGTCAACTTAAAAATCACACCTCTGGATCAGGCCTCTCAGTCAACCTTCTTTCTCTCCCCCTTCTATCTCCGTGATGAAGGAATTTATGGTACAACCTAAATGATAGCCCTCCTTCCCTTCTGAAGTGTTCCCTCCCTCCCTCTATATTTGGGAGAGCAGTCAGGGTTGTTTCCCTTGTCCCAAGTCTGAGTTTCCCTGTCCTCTGTCCCTCTGAGTCTGCCTCTCTTCCTGGTTCTGGGTTCCGTGTGGGTCACGACTCAGGTCAGCACTCACCCCCAACATCCTGTTGCTTACTGAATAATGGTCTACCTGCAGGGAAAGGCATAGAAATGTGTCTCTTCTCTCTCCACAGCATTATCACACAATCACAAATAAATGAATGTTTCAGAATTCCCTGTTGGCTCAGATGGTAAAGAATCTGCCTACGATGCAGCAGACCTGGATTAGATCCCTGGGTTGGGAAGATCCTCTGCAGAAGGGAATGGTAACCCACTCCAGTACTCTTGTCTGAGAAATCCCATGGACAGAGAGGCCTAGAGGGCTACAGTCCATGGGGTCACAAAGTTGGACATGATTGAGCGGCTAACACTTTTGCTTTCACACTTTCAGGCTTTACTAAAGGTTGTAAGAATTAAAGTTACAACAAATGAGACAGAATTTTAAGCAGCCATTAATACCATTTTTCCTAGAAAAACATCCAAGAAATTAAACATTTCATAGGAGGAAATTATTTTGGCGGGGACTCTCCAGAACCTGATTTTGCTCCTTTGATCTTAGATCTGCCTTCCTTTTGGAGAGGCAGTCTCCTCTTCAAAACCTCTTGGCTCTGGGGTGTGCATCCCTTCCCATGTTTAAGAAATACCACTTCCCACCTATAGGCACTGGCCTGACACACAGGGACCTCCACCCACCCCCACGCAACTCCCCAGGAGTTCATTAAGCCAAGGCTTAGTTATTCCATCCAGAATGGCCCAGCCAAGTCATATAGGATGCACTTGGATCCTCCAAGTCCTTCAGAGCCAGATAAGCTGTGGGGGATGTGGGGACACCACGAGTGAGTGAGTGAGTTCCTCAGTTGTGTCCGACTCTTTGCGACCCCATGGACTATACAGTCCACGGAATTCTCCAGGCCAGAATACTGGAGTGGGGAGCCTTTTCCTTCTCCAGGGGATCTTCCCAACCCAGGAATCGAACCCAGGTCTCCCGCATTGCTGGTGGCTTCTTTACCAGCTGAGCCACGAGGGAAGCCAGTTCCTAGGATAGCATAGAGTACCTGTAGACCCTTAAGGAGAAAAGAAACACTTCCCCCCTAACTTTCTCTACTTTGCAAGGCTGCCCCCTTGAAATTTCACTTAGCATTCTTTTGGTGACCAGAATATACTTCTATGCTTAACGCTTCCTCCATCCTTTCTTCTTTCCAATTGCACTCCCTTAGTCTGGCTAAGAATAAGAAAAGGAGCTGACTGGCCATATATTTTTTATTAGTAGCTTGTGGAGCTTCTCAAAGACCGCCCCCTCTGGAGACCTGGGACATATTCCTTGTAATGTGAGAGATGGATGAAATTCTTAGCTGATGGGCCCTTGCTGTTCTCAATTCCTGTATGAAACGGGTTAGTGAGGAAAGCATGTGTATGTAAGAGAGTAATTCTCCCAGTTATAATAGCAATAAAAAGGGTGATGTCTGACCCGTGCTCACCAATTTTTATAGCATGTTTCAATCCTGACTGCACATTAGAATCACCTGGAGAGCTTTAAAAATACCAAGGCCTCACCCTTGAACTATTAAATCAGAATCTCTGGGAGTGAGATCTGGGTATGCTGTTTTTAAAAGCCTGTAGGTGATTCTGCTGGGCAGCAGGGCTGAGAACTACGAATGTGTAGGGGGTGGGAAGTGATCACAGCTGGAAAAGGTCACGTTTGTTGCACCTGGAATGAATTCTGCAGCCCCAGGCAGTCTAGTTCCATCAGGCTCCTTTCAGCTTCCAAGAGTCTCAGTGAGATTTCAGTGAAGAGGGAGGTTACTGGGTTCCTGTGATGGAGCTGTTATGGATGGTCTGGAATGACTGCTATCATCTGTTCCAGTGAGTTTCCCACCGCATAAGCAGACTCTTATTTTTAATGAAAGGAAATGGCTGCAGTTACTAGACAGTGCCTGAGAGTGGACTCTCAACAGATACAGTACTTGTTGAAATAATGAATTATTTCAGCAGAGCGTTAATGGGCAGTTATCCTCTTCTACCACGAGATGGTGACCTACAAAAGATCAGTGTAGAATAGTGTTTCAGCTCCGCCAAAACAGAAAAAGGGATGAACAGCAGAACCTGAAGATAAAAACCAGCATATTTTGGATGTATGGGTGTGTGGTGGGGAGGAGGGCCATGGCTTTTGTTTTCAGCTCTGTATCCTTTTATTTATTGATCATTTCTTATTTTTTGCTTCACCAGGTCTTTATTGCTCTGCGCAGGCTCTCTCTCATTGTAGAGAGCAGGCTTCTTATTGCGGTGGCTTCTCTTGTTGTGGAGTGCCGGCTCTAGGGCCGGGGCTCAGTAGTTGTGGCTCAAGGGCTCAGCTGCCTTAGGTGCCTCGCAGCATGTGGGATCTTAGTTCTTGGGCCGGGGATCGAACCCTGTATCCCCTGTATTAACAGGCAGATTCTTAAACACTGGACCACCAGGGAACTCCCTATTTATCCCTTCAGATAAGTAGATCAACAAAATTCAAAGAGGTTTAAAAAAAAAAAGTGAATATGCAGTGAATTCACATGGCTCATCTCTCTCCTTAGGAGGCTAAGCTTCTTGGTTGACATCTATGAGCTCATGGCATTTCCAGAAGGTAGGCCAGGGCTGAGCGCTAAGCTACTTTACATGTAAGGACAATAAGTGGCCCCAGTTTGGTTGCTCGGCCAATAATCTGCCAGAAAACATGTTTTCAATTTACCCTGGTCTCTAGCTCTCTTCACCACCTGGGGAGTTTTGGGAAAGAGCTAATCTGTGGAAACAAAGATACAGTCAGTTATGTAAAAGAATCTGCCTGCCAATACAGAAGAAATAAGAGATATGGATTCAGTCCCTGGATAGGGAAGATCCCCTAGAGGAGGAAACAGCAACTCACTCCAATATTCTTGCCTGGAGAATCCCATGGACAGAGGGGCCTGGAGGGCTATAGTCCATGGGGTTACAGAGTTAGACACAACTGAATAACTAAGTATATACATCAGTTAATAAAACCTCTGGACAAGCCCCTTTTAATGAAGTTGGCCTTGGCACTGGGGAAGCTTGGTAGGATTTCTTGTCTATGTGTTGGTGCTTGGAGAGACAGGGGAGTGACATCTCATGAACAGTGTTTGATTGACAGGCTGAGATCTACATCCTAGTGTCTAAAGAGCCTGTGTACTCCAGGTGACAGGTGGTTCCACCCTGGCTTGGCTGAATGCTGCTTCTGGAACACTGGGCCCCAGGAGATCCATCATCGCCAGAGAGGCAGGACTGCCTCCCTTGCCATCTGCTCCTGCAGCACCCAAGCTGGCCATGGAGCCAGTCACTTGACCCTGGAGGGGAGAGGAGGCAGAGATAGCACATGGGGATGGCCTGCTGGTGACTGAAATCTTTCTATTGCTGGATGCTCTGAAGAGGAAATCATGAATTCAGCCTTCAGTGCCTCTGAGCCCTCCTTTGCTATGTCTGTAGAAAGTATCCTGTCCCTTCTCCAGGTTGACCGTTCTAGATCCTCACCACTACCCTCTCATTCCATCCTGATGCCCCTTGTCAGCAGATGGCTTTGCTGCCTAATTCCCAGAGAAAACTGAGGCCATGCACCATGAAACCCCTGAACTTCCAGCTTCCCTCCCACAAAGGTATTTATGTCTGCACCCCCACACCCTCCCAGTGATGTCAGAGAGCAGAGGTGTCTCACTCTATGGAGACCAGATTCTCTTTACCTATGTCCTGGCTTCCAGAGCCTTCAGCTCCTCCCAGGGTTCCCCTGGGGCTTCGCTCTACCAGCTTTCACCTCTCCCCGCTTTTCTGGTTCTTTCCACGTGCAAGCTCCCCCATCATGAAAAAATGAAACAGGGACTTCCCTGGTGGTCCAGTGGTAAAGAATTCACCTTGCAATGCAGAGGACACTGGGTTGATCTTGTTGGGGAACTAGGACCCCACATGCTTCGGAGCAGGTAAGCACACGCAACACACATCCTGAGCCTTTGCCCTCCAGAATCCGTATCACAACTAGAAAGCCCTAGTGCTATAACTCCTGAAGCTGCCTGCCACAACTAGGTAGTCTGTGGGCCACATCGAAAGATTCCAAAAGATGCAACTAAGACCAAACACAGCCAAATAAATAAGTAAAATGAAACAAAGCAAATTAAAACCTATTGTAGCCCTTTCTCAAATCTGTCTCAGATCCCTCACTCCTAAGCACTCAGCTTCAGATGTGGGGGTGAGGGAGGGGGAGAAGCCCCTTCCCCTTCTTCTCCCCACCCTATCCGTGGTCTGTTACTACTCAGCGGTGGAGCATGGAAAGTAGACGCAGGGCCCCGAGCAGCAGCACTGCTGAGCAAATGTGACAGTGACCTTGAGGTTGAGCTGTTGACATCCGAGCTGGCGTCGGAGGCTTCTATGGGCAGTGAAAGCCTCTGTCCTAGGTTACCCCTGGCCTTGCCTCCTGCCAAATCTCGCCTTCAGTCTCCAAGACTGAAGCCCAAGTGGACACGAGCCAGGCAAGAAGCCTGTCCTTTCTGAGGGTCAAACGGAGGCAGGAGCAGCAGCAGAAATAGCACTCAGGGTGAGGAATGGGTGGATGTGCTCCGGGCCGAGGTCAGAGTGGGTAGCCAACGGGCATGTGCTGCCTGGAGATGAAATGAATGGCGAGAGGGGGCTTGGAGTAATGTTCAAGTTGCTCTCCATGTTCAAAGAGCAGAGAATCCTCATGCTCAGAATCTCGTCCGGGAAGACTTCAGGCTGGTCTTGGCATCACAGTCGTGCCCCTACCTCGGGCTGAGTGTGTTGCTCTCTGAGATGCTGTTGCTCGGCACTGACTCAGGCCTCCTGGGTGCCTGCTCTTCAATTGCCCTAATCGTTGTAACAAAAACAGCATTGTCTGAGCTCATTCTGTGTGTCCAGCAATATGCTAAATATTCTGCATACCTCATCTCAGTTCATTTAATCATCCCCAACACTATGAAGTAAGTTTTATGATCTCTAGCTCATAAAAGAGAAAGTTGAGATGTAAAGAAATCAACTCACCACCCAAGTTTATGTATGAAACTAATGAGCAATGATGCCAGAATTTGAGCCGCACTCTGACTCTGGGCTTCCCTGGGAGCTCAGCTGGTAAAGAATCCGCCTGCAATGCAGGAGACTTTGGTTCAATTCCTGGGTTGGGAGGATCCCCCGGAGAAGGGATAGACTACCCACTCCAGTATTCTTGGACTTACCTGGTGGCTCAGGTGGTAAAGAATCTGCCTGAAGTTCAGGAGACCTGGGTTTGATCCCTGGGTTGGGAAGATCCCCCGGCATGGCAACCCACTCCAGTATTCATGCCTGGAGAACCCCCAGGGACAGAGGAGCCTGGAAGGCTACAGTCCATGGGATCGCAAAGAGTCGGACACAACTCAGTGACTGAGCACAGCTCAGCTGCTTGGCTCCATGCCCTTCTGATTCTGTAGCCCAAATGGCTATAACAAGGATGAGTTTGTTTCAACACACGCAGGCACAGGAGAAGTCATATACTAACAGCAAGAGGGCAGTACCAGTTGTTACCAGGAGCTCTCACCTAAGCTCATTTTTCCTATTAAAAACAAGAGGCAAAGCTGATATGCCAAAGCTTTATGGGGAGGTGAGTTAATCCCAGGGCAGAGACTGAGAGAATTAGGACGTGGGGCAGACAAAAAGCAAAGCGAATGCGAAGCAGTCCATTACTGAACTGACTGTGGCACCATGAGAAATTGAACAGACGGCTCAGCCATGCTGAAGGTTTCTGGAAGACCATGTGAAGTCACTGCACCCCGGAACAGTCTGCTTGGGAGAAGAGTTAGGAATCTCTGTTGCTTCCGCCCTGTCTTGGGTCTCTTGTTGGTCAAAATTCACCCTGTGGGGCATTAGCTCTCTTGTACTTACAGGTTGCAAAGAGTCAGACGTGACTGAGCGACTGAACTGAACGGAACTTATGGGTTGTGTAGCTGGGCCCCCCGGGCAGCTTTGAGGCCAGACTCAGTGAGTCCAGGTCGGGGTGGACATGTGTCCAGGGGCTGTTTCTGTTCCTCCAATGATGGGGGACATAATAAAGGTCATGCCCAAACCCAAAAATGACCCAAGGGTGGCTGAGGCAGTCTGTTGTTTTAGGAGGTAAGTGACAATCACAGCACAGCTTCTCCAATGAGCAGGGCCAGGAAAAGAGCTTGGTGGGAGGCCTGTGAGCTGGAGCAAATTTACTTTCCATTCCCTTTAAGTCTATGTCCAATTTCCTCGGCATGCATCCAGGACCCTCCGTGGGGTGGCCCTAGCCAATTGTTTCAAGCTAGTCCACTGCACCTCCGTCCACACCCCCAGTCAGGGCAACACTCAGCCCATGAAGCGCCTACATATGAGTAAGAAAAAGGCACCTCTCTAAGTGGTCACAGCCCTGTGGCTCTGGCTTTGGCTGGCAGAATGGTGTTTGGATGTAAATTAGAAAAATAAAACACCCTTCCTGGTCACAGCTCACGCCAGAGTGTACAGCTGGATTTTCAAGTGTCCTCTGGCCACTGGGCACAGAGGTGTGGCCAACCACATTGAATCCTGGATGAGGAAACAGGCCTACAGAGGTAGACGCCCTTGCCCAGAGTCACAGAGACCTGCCAGACACAGGGCTCAGCTTCTGACCTGAATGCAGCCACTGCCTCCTACTTCACCCAAGGCGGCAGCTTGGAGACTACCCCTCCTCCAGCCCACACAGAAATAATTTATGAAATTTCCCAGGTGTGTCTGGCATTGGCCCCATGTTCTGGCCTGATCTAGTGCCCACAGCTGTGAGAAAGGGTTGTACCCTTGCTTTCTCCCAACCACCACCCCGTGACCTCCAGAGAATCAGCCCCTGGGGGCTGTGCCAATGACCTCATGGGGAACTGCTGCCCACTGACTTCCTGTTTTTATATTCTTTCCTCCTCTGCTTGTTTTTCCTGCTTTGTTGTTCTTTGATCATTTTTGGTTCTCCTCCCCCAGCCATTCTGCAGAAACTAAACTTGATTTTTTGTGATTATTTAAAATCCATGTTTAGATAAAGAGACCTCATACTTCTCTTTTGTCCATTTGGGGAATTGGAGTTAAGGGTAATTTCCCCCCACCCCACCCCTTTTTCTCATCTCATTCCCCATGGTTTATCTCCCAAATGATGTTCTTCAGGTTCCACAGCCCAGGAGAAGCACACTCAGAAGCTGTGTCTGCAAGGGCCATGTGAATTCAGGATTCTGTTTCTACTAGAGACCTCCCTTCTATTGGATGCTGTACTAGATGGAAGGGAAGAGATCTGCCAGCTTCCCCACTGTCATATCCTCAGCTCCAGGAAACTACAGACAGAGCCCCTACTGAAAAAACCACACGGTTCTCCTTTTCTTCCAAGATCGAGGGCACATTCCATAGCATGCATCAAAGAGTCTCAAAGGGTGAGTGGCCCAGGGTCGCTTTCCACCCTAGTTCACTGTTATTCCATCTGCTTCTCCCTCCTTCCACCCTCTTTTCTCTGTTCCAGCCATGCTAATCTCCTTGCCTTTCCTGGAAACACTGTGCTCCTTCTTGCCTCCCTACTTTCACACTTGCTATTCCTCTGCCTGCAATTCTTTTCCCTTTCTTCCTTGGGAATTCTTGTTTACCCTTCCAAGCCTAACTAAAACATCACCTTCTCAAGGATGCCTTAACCATGTCCTGTAAGCTGAATTTGTTACCCCTTGCTCTGTGTTCCTTTGGCTCCTTTTTCCTAAGAGGAAATATAAATGTATTATAAAAGTAAATATAGGGACTTCCCTGGAAGCCCAATGGTTAAGAATCTGCCTTGCAATGTATAGGTTCGCTCCCTGTTCAGGGAAATAAGATGCCACATACCTCGGGGCAACTAAAGGCCCGCCCACTCTGGAGACCACATGCCACAACAAAGACCCAGCGCAGCCAAAAAAAAAAAAAAGGAGTAAATATAAATGTTTATAACCTCATTCATCACTTCCCTGGTGGCTCAGATGGTAAATAATCTGCCTGCAATGCAGAAGACCCAGGTTCCCTTGGAGAAGGGAATGGAAGCCCACTCCAGTATTTTTACCTGAGAAATCCCATGGACAGAGGAGCCTGATGGATGCCAGTCCGTGGGGTCACAAAGAGTTGGACAGGACTGAGCAACAGACACACACAATTCAACCTCATCTATGTGCTTTCTCTGGTGGTATTTGAGTCACTTGAGCATTGCCTTTTTTTTTTAATTGTATAATAGTTTCCTCCTCTCCTTTATTGAATTAGTCCTCTGTATTTATATTTATTTGCTTGTAAGTCTCTGAGACAAATGTTTCTCTTTATTCTGTGTATGCCTAGGAATGTGCATATGTGTGGTACGTATGAAAGTTTTACTGATTACAGTGTTGAAATATGATTTATGCCACGAAGGTCTGTGGGGCAATCCCCCATGGGAAGGCGTGAACTGAAAAGGTTGGTCACTCACAGCGTTGGTCTCCCAGGAGATTATGGTTCATTTAACAGGAAGCCAGAAGCTGGGACAGGTGGGAAAGGAAATGCTTGTGTCTTCAGGACAGTGCTTGTCAAAATATAGCTTGTGATCCAACCATATCAGAATCACCTGGGGATGGGGGTTGGGAGGTGGGACTTGTTAAAAATTCAGACTCCGGGGCTCAAATTCAAGCCTTCTGAATCCAGCTCTCTGGGGGTAGTTCTCAGGAATCTGAATCTTAATAAACTGCCAGGAGGTTTTCCTGCACCAGCCTTGGAGAACCACTGATCCAGGTGTTTGGGGAGCTGGAGTTCATGCCCCTGAAACCTGTGCTTGTCAAGGTCACTAGTTGTCACACCTTCTGAATGTTCAGTCTACTAGCTGCTTCCAGGCCTCATTCTCCGGCTCTCTGGTGGAATGGGACTCAGAGGAGCATGGCCTGTTTTGAATCTCTTCACCACCTCATGCTCTGTGAAGCCCTCTGCTCCCG